AACTTGGCCGTTGTCACCTCCGATATTGCCGCTTGCGAATCTCTCCCATTACGCCCTGCGTCCCTGCAATTCCGATTGTCTCGGTCGAGATCAGTGTGCTGCTCCACGTCCAGTCTGTCCTGCTTCCGTGGTCTACCTCGTTTCTTCACATTAACCATTGTTGTCACTTCCAGTATTGGTTCTTTTGATTCGTCATCAATTCGTCTCCTCAATTGACTTCTGGTGACTCGTCCGGGGCTCGATTGTCCAGATGTCAGTTTCGGTGGTTTCCGTATCGGTCTCTTCTTCTTGTTGACTGTTGTTTGGGTTGGCTCCAGCCCTCCGCCCGACGAAAAGGAGGAGGCGTCGGCAAGCGTATCCACAGCGGACTTGGACAAGTCCACGTCAGACACAGACTGCACTGGACACTTCGGTGGACGACCACGCCGAGGTCGAGAACCACGTGCAGCTACAGGGACAAGATTCAACGGTACATGTTGACGAATCCGTGCGCCCAGGGGCTGAAAGGTTCTACCTACGTACCGATTTTCACAATTTCGGCACTGAAAGAAATAGATTAAATTACTTTTGCTTAGGGTAGGTAGAACGTCCTTCTTCACGCTGAACGCACGGGTCGTCCCAAAGATGACATACAATTTGACACACGGACAAGAGGAACAAACAATATTCCGCACCTCCTTCTCGACGCGCGAAGAACCGGCACCAACCCATGGCAAACGTAGTACCACAGGGCATCTCTCTGGTCCAAAAGTAATCGTCTTTTCCAAGGTCGGTTTCTGGTTGATGAGTTTCATTAAAAGTGTCTTTGGATAGCCATTCTTTGTCATTATGGTTAAGAGTCGTTCTAGTTCCTCGTCCAGCAGATGAGGGGAACATATCCTATGTGCACGGTAGACAAGGGCCTTGACGAGGTGTGTTTTGGACTTAGTTGGAGTAAAACTTGACCATGGGATATACAAGCCTGTGAAAGTGGGCTTTCTATAAATGGTCGTGTCCATGTTGTGCGTATCCATGTTACGAGAAATACTAACATCCAGGAAAGAAAGGGTACCATTGTTTTCACCATCTGATGTGAATTTTAATGCTGGATGTAAGGAGTTTTAAAAGAGTTTCCATAAACCTATCACAGGTTTCCTTGTCGTCGTCGTGACAATACACATCGTCAACAAAACGACAGTACATTGATGGCCAAAGTGAAGGGTCAATAGACGACTCGCAGAAGCCAACAAATATGTTCGCCAAGACTGGTCCCAAAGGCGATCCCATGGCGACTCCATCATTCTGTTTGTACATTATATTGTCGAATGAAAACACCACACCAGACGTGACCATGAACATAAGTTTCACGAACTCTGTTTCATTCAAATCTGGGGGAGTGATAGATCTGTTATGGTATAACGCAATGGCGCAAATGTCTATTGTTTCTCGTAAAGGAACGTTGGTAAACAAGCTGACTACGTCATAGGAGCACATGTAACCATTTGATTCAAATTTCGAATCTCTAAGTTTTTCCACAAACTCAAACATGTCTTTAACGCAATATGTGTTGTACAAGGCAAGAACCGGTTCCAGCAAATTGCATCACCATTTCGAAACCTTGTATTGCGGAGATCCAGACATGCTTAAGATCGGGCGTAATGGAATATGTTTTTTATGAATTTGTGGGAGCCCATACATCCTAGGTCTTGTCGAGCCCGTGGGAGCTAGATGATCATACTCATATTTGGTGATCTGATGCGTTCTAGAAAGAAAAAGCATGTATTTACTCAACTTGGTATCAATGTTTTCGGTATGTTCATACACATCGCAAGGCCCTAGTCTGCTGAATTTACTAATGTCATTGAGTATGACCAACATTTTCTCCCGGTAATTATCCGCAGACAAGATGACTGTTGCACGGCCTTTGTCCGGTCGAGAGATAACGATTTCTGGATTCTTTCGAAGCTTGTTGATCACTTTCATGTGTTCCCGTGATAGCGTGAATGATCGAGTGTTCGGAGGCGATTGTGCGAACCGAAAGGCTTCAGCGGCCAGTGAAGCCCGACAAGATCCCGCTGCTATATCCGACTTTGCCGGGATGCTAGATAGCTGTTGCTGAAGTAGTCCGAACTCGGCCAGGATATCAGTTTTCCTAAACCTCGGGGGAATACCGAAGTCCATTCCACCGCACAAAACATCCTTTTGAAGCTGGGTTAAGGTAATATCAGAGAGATTGATGATTGTTTCATAATTGTCACTGCAGGTTCCAAACCGGTCCTTCCTCAAAGCTAAAATAATGCCTGTGTGTTTCTTTTCAAGTCTAGAACGCTGCCTACAATCACATTCGGATAATAGCCAAGAGAACCTAATGAAGTCGAATGTATTGAGATGTGTTCGGCTTGTTTGGTAGGAAGACACAAACTTGGATCGTATGCTTTGAAGGTGGGCCTTGGTCTTGTTATGGTCATCTTGTAGCAAGACCTTTTCAATAGAGATGGAATCATAGAGTTTTAATTTGTGAACTCGCTGTTGGAGATACTTAGGCGCGATAGAGTAATGAAGACAGTCACGAAGCAGTCGCACATGGTAGATGGCTGTGTTAAGGCGTCCCCGGAGAGAAAGGACTCGAACCAGGGACCCTCGCTTGTAGCCAGCGATGCTCTAACCACTGAGCTATGGTGTAGTCGTCATCCCAATAATACCACAGCACGCGTACAAAGGCCAAAGAACAATGCATGAGAATACACTGAAATTAAGCCAAGTCCGCTTCTGTCTCCAGTCAACAAAAAACTCATCCATAAACAATGTCTGATCTCCATTTCGACTTGTCTGCAGCAAATGCTCGTGCTCCTACTAGTTCTAGGTCGCTGGCATTCTTCAAAGGAATGTCGTGCCTTGCCAGGTCCTTCATGATGGTGGTAGGGAGAGTAGCCGCGGGACGGCCCCTCGTCCACGTGACCCCGCTTGAAAATAGCAGGACATCGCAAGGCAAGGGGGTGACTGCTCACTCATCCTCAGCACATGGCCAGTGAGGCTACGGCGTCGCTTGGCAACAAGCTCCGACAGTGGGTGCGAGTCACATCTGGAATACAGATCATCATTCGTAATTCTGTCTGGATATCGCACTCCCACCAGGTTTCTGAGCTGTCGGCGGTGAAAACAGTCCAGTCCCTGAAAGACTGCCTGGGTTACTCCCCAAGTCTCACAGTTGTAAAGGAGGACAGGCAGCACAAGCGAGCTGTACAGCTTGAGCCTGGACCTTTCTGACACATGCTTGCGCCGCAGCCAGAGGCTGAACATACTACCGTATGCCTGGGATGCCAGCGAAATCCGCCTGTCGATATCCTCAGCGCCCCCATAAGAGAGCCAAGCTGCCTGATGCTCCGCCAGGATGAATCGCCTGACGTAAAGTGCACCCATTCCGTTTTTTGGTCATTTACTTTTAGGTTCCAAGACTGCAGTGTCGAGGATATGATGGGAAGTGATTCCTCGAGCCAAGGTTTACTGGTAGAGTAGAACGTTATGTCATCAGCGTACCCGGTTTCTGGAGGGATGCCTCCATCAGTTATAGGTCGCTGTGGGAGTCTTGGGCGACATTCTTGCAGGGCGGCTTCAAGGTAACAGACGAACAACACGGGACTTAGACTGTCCCCCTGGGGCGTGCCGATGGTGGTATGGAATGCCTTGGAAGTGGAGCTGCACATACGAACAGATATGGTGGTGCCGTACAGAAGATGCTGTATCATGTGGACTTCATCGCGGCCAAGGAACGAGCTCATAACATCCAGGAGCTTGGCTCTGTTGATGGTGTCAAATATCTTTGACATGTCTAGCCCCAAGGCATGACACTCCCACACGTACCTCTGTGACTTGGCCGATAACCAACGTTGGGTGAACACGACACCCACTCGTTCCCCTTGCAGCTCGAAATCCCGACGAGGTGGGTCCCAGAAATTCTGACACTGCTGTTGATATCCGTGCCAGTATCATCACGAGTGAGAATACTTTCCTTATTGTATTGAGTAGGACTATCGGTGTCAAACTCGTGAGTGGTCCGCGGGGTTTGTTTGGTTTGGCCAACGGGATTAGGACGCCTGGGCCGACGATGCTCGAGAAGTCTAGGCCTCGGGTGATGCTGGTATTCAGGAGATCTTCAACTATAGGACCGGTATATTCTGCGCCATATTTCAGCAGCTCTCCATGTACCAGGTCCTCTCCACAGGCATTTTGGTTCTTCAACCGCTGAAGGGCTCGGCTCACCTCAGCAATGGCCACGGGAACCTCCAGCTTATGGGGCGTTGGGCGTTCGACTGTTGATATCAGCGAAGAATAGAACTGCTGTCGAAAGTGCGCCGCGATTATGTCCGCTTTTTCCTGGCTCTGGGCAACAACTTCACCGTCGGTAGACTCAACCTTTACCGAACTATCTGCAGACTTCCGTTTCAGGGCCTTCGCCGCCTGAAACATCTTCACCGAATCAGGAGCGTTATCGATTTGTTCAGCAATTTTGTCGAGGCGATCATTGGCTTCTGAAAGCTGGGTGTTTCTGATTTTATGGAGAACTTGATTTCTTGCTTTCCTTAGCTCTGCTGCGTTGCTCGCCCCAGAGTCGATCAGAACCCTGAGCCGACTTTGCTCACGGGATAGTTCGAATATGGAGAGGTATAAATCTAAATATTACCTTCAGCCTCGTGAATATGGGCGAATATTCACTAGTTACACAAACCGACGCGAAGCCGAGGTTTGTATACTAGTAAATATTCGTCCATATTCACTTCGGCTTCAGGTAATATATATATATATATACGTAGGTATACACAATAAAACAATAAAATGTGGTGCAAACGAAGACAGGCACTATGTCATAATGACGCCCAATACACATGCTGGTGTAGAAGAAAGGAAAGTCAGGTCAAAATGGTCTGAACTGCAAGAGTCATGTGGCTTCACATTTGAGGATGGGAAAGCTGCGAAGAAGTGACCTAACATTTCATATTGACAGTGTGGCCTGTTAGACGTACCTGGTGTTTGGGATGTGCTGACAAATCCAGTTGTGCTTCTGCACAGAGTATTCACTGATTGAAAAAATGTGTCACTTCGACTACAGGGAAATCTAGCTTGGCCACAGCCGCTTGCACTTTGCTCTGAAGGCCTTGATCCAGAACAGTGGCAGGTATATTCCGTGTTCGATCCCCGGCACATCGGATAAGTGATGCATGTTGGGCAAGTCGCCCTGGGAACACAAGCCGTGCCGTTGAACAACATTCGCTCCGGGCATGTGCACATGAAGTCCACGCTTTCACCGTAGCCATAGCAACGCACATCGGCTCCCCTGCATTTAGCCCGAACTGTAAAAAGTATAATTATAGTATTGCAAAACACAAGAACAAATTTAGATGACCTTATTGCAAACATACTAGTACGATACATGCACCATACTCAATCACCACATAGACCTTTGGATGTTGTCTTTTATTGAGAGAGAGAGAGGGAGGAAGAGAGAGAGACAGAGAGAAAGAGAGAGAGAGAGAGAGAGAGAGAGAGAGAGAGAGAGAGAGAGAGAGAGAAAGAGAGAGAGAATGAGAGAGAGAGACATAGAGAGTCATAGAGATAGAGACAGAGACAGAGAGAGAGACAGAGAGAGAGAGAGACGGAGAGAGAGAGAGAGAGAGAGAGAGAGAGAGAGAGAGACATAGAGAGAGATAGAGATAGAGAGAGAGAGAGTAGAGAAAGAGAGAGAGACAGAGAGAGACAGAGAGAGACAGAGAGAGACAGAGAGAGAGACAGAGAGAAAGAGACAGAGAGAGACAGAGAGAGAGAGAGACAGAGAGAGAGAGAGAGAGAGAGAGAGAGAGAGAGAGAGAGAGAGAGAGAGAGAGAGAGAGAGAGAGAGAGATAGAGAGAGAGACATAGAGAGAGATAGACATAGAGAGAGATAAAGATAGAGAGAGAGATAGAGAGAGAGAGAGAGAGATAGAGAGAGAAACATAGAGAGAGATAGAGATAGAAAGAGAGAGTAGAGAGAGAGAGAGTAGAGAGAGAGAGAGAGAGAGAGAGAGAGAGAGAGAGAGAGAGAGAGAGAGAGAGAGAGAGAGAGAGAGAGAGAGAGAGAGAGAGAGAGAGAGAGAGAGAGAGAGAGAGAGAGAGAGAGAGAGAGAGAGAGAGAGAGAGAGAGAGAGAGAGAGAGAGAGAGAGAGAGAGAGAGAGAGAGAAGAGAGAGAGAGAGAGAGAGAGAGAGAGAGAGAGAGAGAGAGAGAGAGAGAGAGAGACAGAGAGAGAGAGAGAGAGAGAGAGAGAGAGAGAGAGAGAGAGAGAGAGAGAGAGAGAGAGAGAGAGAGAGAGAGAGAGAGAGAGAGAGAGAGAGAGAGAGAGAGAGAGAGAGAGAGAGAGAGAGAGAGAGAGAGAGAGAGATAGATAGAAAGAGAGACATAGAGAGAGATAAAAATAGAGAGAGAGAGAGGTAGAGAGAGAGAGAGATCGAGAGAGAGAGATAGAGATTGAGAGAGAGTAGAGGGGGAGAGAGAGAGAGAGAGAGAGATAGAGAGAGATAGAGAGAGAGAGAAAGAGAAATGCACATAACCAGTTCTAACCACTGAGGAAGTACCATTACAAGTGGATCTGTCTACGAATAGCACTAATGCTATCATGCTCGCAACGTAAAACAGTAATCCAAGAAATGGTGTATTCCCTCGAATTTTGCTTTGGTGAACGAAGGAATAGTCCATATTCTTCTCATGTGGCCCACTCACTTCACTCAATCAGACCCAGCAATCATGTTGTATACTGATCACGTGGATAGTCTGATGAACGAGCAAATTGGACCAAAGAACAAGCTTTACAGTTCTCAGTACAAAATTTCTTCACTCTCACTCCTCAACACTACAAAGGAGGTCATTGTCGGAGCTGCATAATACCGCAACGCAGCACAAATATTCCAGCAATGGAACATTCGAATGGTACTGCCAGCATTCGAATATTCGTTCTGGTGTCCGTATTCTAGAATATTCCGAATGTGCGAATATTCCTTTCCATCACTGATGCAAAACCATACAATTGTGAGCCACTGTGGTCTGTTGTTATCCAATGTGATCGAAGACTTGAGAACACGTATACACACTGTGCTCTGTTCTTTCGGCTACCTGCTTACTTTGGAGTACATATTGCTGTGTTCGGCTCCCATAGCCTCCATACAGGGGAGAAGGGGTTTGGTCCGTTCGCCCAGCAAGCTTCACCAGTGGGCACGCCTGAGTGTAAGATGAAAATTGGGTGAGAATCAGCCTGCAGTATAGACCAAAATGACAAAGCGTGTATGTGATCACGAAAATAATCGTAAATTTCTATCACAAGAATCGCTGCTGAAGAACATTCACTACGTTCAATATCTCCGAGAAAGAAGGTATGAACCTAGACTCCTGTATGGAGTACTCAGACACCCACGGGAACTATGGTTGCAGAATATACCGCCAAAATGCTTGGTACCATGTCGGGTCCCTTTCAGACATGCTTAGTATAAAATACTATAACTTCTAGAGCATGTATGGCTAAAAGGACGACTAATTGCAGTGTAAGCATTTCCTTAATGTCCACATGCAGTGTGAAATGTAAAACGATGATTGCAAGGCACACAACGAAAGGGACACCTTTAAGGGAAACCTTTCGTAGTGTGCCTTGCGATCATCGTATAACATTTTACACATATAATGTCGACATTTAGGAAATGCTTACAGTGCAAATAGTCATCCTTTTGCTAGATTAAAACTGCTGTCTCTGAAACGCTTGATAACTTCAAGTTTATAAGATTGTTATTGTTTTTACTTCGACCTGTATGACTACTACAGTATTAACTTCGTCTTGGGGGTAAGACATGGGGAAGTTGCCATAAAGGGGTGGTGAGCCAGCCTTTCGGCAACAGGAATACAACTTGCTCGACTCTGACTCCACTGAGTGAAGAGGACCCACACCTAGATCTGGTGACCTGCGTCGTGAGGATTTGCAGTCAGATGTGCGATCGCGGGGCTCGAACTCGCGACCTTTCGGTTCGCAGGTAAATGAAGCTTCATTCTTACGAATAGGGAAGCATCGAAAGTTATAGAATCCCCACCGACGCGCACCCTTATGGAGGAAAATCTTGATCACATTAATCAGAACGTTAACGAGAAATGTTTCATGACTCAATTGTAGTCTTGCTATAGCTACAGGATTGAAGCACACCATCACTACATTCATGGCGGCACAGAGTCCCCATTCAATTCTTCCCAATGTTCGCCAACGTGTGAAAACATGTCCCTGATCATCCCATCCTGGGCAAAACAGATGGAAATAGTAAGACTGTCATGTGACCAAAGACGAAGTGATGTCGTGTGCAACTTCAGCTAACGCACTTACAAATTCTCAAGGTTTGAAAGATTGTCAAACATTCCCACAGGGAGAGATAGGAACTTCTGGCCATTCAGATTCCTGTACAATTCACGCACAATCAAGAAGAATACATTGAATTATATCAACGTGGCGAGGCCCTTAGAATGGGCAGCTTGGATAGATTTTGTTCTATATTTCAAGTCACTTCATAATCAGCGTGAACACTGGTTGCATGAGATGTGCGTTCTTCAAGGTGAACGACACCAAGCCTCCTGCAGTTAGTAGTGCAAGGTTAGAAGGAAACTTCAGTTTGGTCTTCTCTGAACTATACATGGCCATTCTTATAACAGCGAGTGCGACAAAATGGCACAAAACTGACAAAGGAGTACTGAGACATTCGGCGACCTGACACCTAGCTCCAACACTTCTCCAAGGCGCAAACCAACAACCTTCCAACTTGGAAGGCTCAGGTCCGGAAAGGTCCAAGAGGAGAAGGAAAGCGCAACGAAGAAGAGCACGAGCTACGCATCACGGCAACAAAGAATGCCGAAAGTAACGGAAAGTTACTGGATGATGACGAAACTAGTAAGACTATTGGACAGACCGGCCTTACTACAACTCGACGACGCAAAGCAACAGACCACCCAAATTGGGAGGCTCAAGTTTATGTAATAAACATAGAAGGGGAAGCTAAGCGAAGACGAATTGTGACAAACCGAAACGCCAACATCCTACTGAACTCCACTATCATGTATGATGGACTAGTTATGTACAATAACAAACAGTTCCACACGACGTACGTTTCGCCGTATAGGTCATGACGGCTCATCAGGGCACAAGTCTAGGTGTTTTATTGACCATTCTTACAGAACTAACTAGCCCAATGAAGTTGAATCCCTTTCAGGCAACGTTACTTGCTTCCACCAGGTATTCACTGTGCAAAAACATGTGTCAATGTCAGACTCTGGAAATGTACTCACAGCGATTTTAGTTTGGAAAGACTCGAGAATATTTCCGTGTGCTGAGTCGAATGGTCTTGGTCCGAAGTGTCTACGACAAAGCGTTCTTGAGATATTTCACTTTGAAATTGCAAAAACGGGGGTCGCTAAACCCAGCGGTCGCTTACACGAGGCTTTACTGTACCGGCAAACTATTGTTTGTGCCCTATGTCATTTATCGTTGCGAGAATCGTCAATGTGAGAGCTGATAGGACGGTATCTGATATGTATGATAGGTGTGGACACCGGCGCCCGCCACTTGACTTCATTGCTGAACAGTGAATGTTGCGCTGCGCGGCATTGGACAGTACATGTGTGTGTGTGGGGGGGGGGGGGCGCGTGCGCGATCGTGTGAGCACTTCTGACTTGCGTGATGATTGTTATCACCACATTGTGAATTTTGCACTTTTTTGGTAATTGTTGTCAGTATCAGACTTTGGTTTTATTGTTAGTCCACGTCACAGTGGGTAACATGTAGCACAGCATAGTATAACCGAGCTGGTCCTTTGCAGGCTTGCATAATGATCATTGCATACCCTGTCTGATGAGGGCAATTTGACGAAACGTTGTTATAACTACAAAAGAGTTCGATATTACAGAGTGCAAAGTACGGTCTGCTCTGAAACCTTGTCCTACGAATGAACCACTGCTTCTAAGCTTGTAGTGTTTTAAAGCGATCATTGGCACTCGTCAGAGGAGAAGTATTAGTTCAGGGGTTGTAGGGGGAATTGATGGGCCTGGAATTCATCCAAAAACAAGCTGCTCCGATTTTCTAACTCTGGCTACAATTTATAGTAAAGAAAAAAGGACCAAGAAACCGAGTCCGAGTCCATTCTGGCAACAATATTCTTCTTTTCATTTAACAAAACGTATACTTACAGACTTGTGAGATTGTAGAGATTTTCAAACAATCCAACTGGTAGGGCACTTAGAAGGTTGTGTTCCAGATGCCTATGAGGTCAATACAGGCAAATAAAAACCAAATGTTTTTGGTAATCCATCCCGAAGCGATTCTAGGTTGTTATACTTCACATCGCGATCAAAATACCGAGACAACGTACACTCACAGAAAAAGTTCAGATGAACACAATACTGTCAGGCGATATGAGGAAAATGATGCTTGTAACGCTTCCAGGTGATATAAGTAAAGCGGTTTTTCTAAAGCATACCAAGCAGAACAAAGATACTGGTTGCAATGGGGAAGGGCGCACAACGCACAAGCAAATGACTACTTTTACCTTAGAATATGTTTTCATTATGACTGTCGGCAATGTGGGAGTTGATCGGTAGGTAGGACCCTTCAATATCTGGACAAGCTAACCACCTATTTATTTTCATTCCTGAGCAGTGAACGTTGCACTGGGCCGCATTGGACAATACCCCCCTGGGAAAGTGATTATCACTTTTCCAGTCATTCAACAACTCAACCTTCTCTGATGAGGTCTTAGGATCAAAACAGCTGTCAGAAGGAATAAATCTTCAGGTCGTTGAATGTCTCAGTACTCCCTGTCAGTTTTGTGTCATGTTGATTGTTATCGCACTAGGTGACTGTATAATGATTTGGTTACTTTGGGGGACAGTTAGTCATAACTCGTAACGTGTTGTCCTTATTGTTGTATCCATGATGACCAGAACAATGTTATTCTTTTCATTTTTGACACCACTTATACTTACAGTCTGTCGAGATTGTGGAGCTTGTCAAACAAACCCACTTGAAGAGAACTCAGAATGTTGCGGCCCAGATGCCTGTGAGGTCAAGAAAACAAATTAAAATAATTATTGTTCTTTTTGGTATTCCATTCTTAAGCGATTCTAGGTCGTTACACTTCTAATCGCTAACAGAAAAACGAGGCAATGTACACTCACAGAACAAATTCTAAATGCAGATAAACACAACGCGGTGCGGCGATATGCGGAAAGTGATGATTCTAATGTTTCCAGGCGACATAAATAATGTTATTTTGGTTGGCACTAGGGCTGAAACGATATGCAAAAACTGCTTAACGATAACACTTATAGCTTAGCAATCGATATAACGATATAGCAATATTCGCGCTCGCTGGGTCAGTGTACGCACTAACTCAACAGTAACTGTCTACCACCAGTGTATAATGTGGTAGTGGACAAGTGCCATGCCAGTGCACAGCGCGGGTTGGACCCCGTACACACAGTAACACAGTGCACGCAGCACTCACAGCGCTGTTACTCGCGTTCTGGCACCTCACACACGTGCATCTACATAGTTCAGTAGTATTGTTATATCGTTAGTGACAGATAAGGATAATCGATAATTTCCTTAGCGATTAGCAAACGGTTAATCGATCATATCGTTTCGGGCGCACAACGTTCAGGCAAACTACTGCAACCTGCCGTACGTGATTTATCATTACCAGCGTCGGCATGTGAGAGCTGATACTGAAGTAGGTAGGTAGGACCCTTCAATATTCTGGACACTCGCACCCGCCATTTGATTTCATTCCTGATCAATGAACGTTGCGTTGGGCCGCCTTGGACAGAATATCCCCCCCCCCCTCCCAGAATCTATGGGGCATTTTGACCGAACGGATACCAACTGCTGACAAACGCAACACACTGACACCCACACAACTCACAAAGATCAAGTCTCATTAAGCATTATACGACAACGCCAAGGTTCGCAGGCGTTGGCCTTACTGAACTTCAACCTAGCATTGAACATCATTGATGGGGCACGCAGATGTCAGCGGTCGAGCACTTGAGGACTTCTGCGAATGCTATCAGCTGCATGGATATGTCACCAACACCACATTCCAGCATTTTGCCAGATACAAGACAACCTGCCCTGGCTGCAGAAGGGGCATGGGTACTGGAAGGACTCTGACATTGTATAATCAGATAGATTGCATTTTGGTTTTGTTTCAGTTCGTTGCCTCAACCGTACAAAGTACAAATATCAAGAGGGACGAACGAAAAGAGGAAACTATACAGAGAAGAGAGGAAGATGTAACTGAAAGGAAAGAAAAACGGAGAGAAACGGAGAAGGAATGTGGACTGGGCGGATTCATGTTTTTGCTTCGAGTCCCTCAAAAAAGGCTACTGAAGATCTGCAGAAGCTATGGTGGTGCACTGACTTCATCGGATCATCGACTGGTCATGGCAAATTTGGACATGTCATAATAATTATTATTATTATTATTATTATTATGCACTTACGCGTCAATGTCAGCGGTGGTAAACCGCCCACAAATTCGCACGTGCTGAATGGACTTGGGAATTGGGAAATGAAAAAATAAAAATAAAAAGAGCAACGACAACAGAAATAGAAATACAATACAAGACGTACCTGCTAAGGGGCACATGACAGCATGGCTCAGATTGAACAGAGGACGCAGACACAGGATAAAGGGCATTGTCGACTCCGTTTTGCGAATAATCCAGTAAAATGGTGGCAGGTGGATGCAGATCCACGCACTACGTTAAGAGAGGAATTTTGTTGGTATTTAAAAAAGATGTTAATTATTATTACTGCAGCAGTTATGAAAAGCAGTACTGTGATATTTCGGAGCAATATTATTTGGTTTTAGTCGTAGACGCCACTATTGGACTTGCAGACGTCCTTGCAAAGGTCCTTCCACTCCCCTCTGCCCTGTGCAATCTCCCGGAGGGAGAGGAGATCAGACAACGTCTTGAGTCCCCTCCGCCCCACTCTCTGCAGGTCACGGGATAGCACGATAGGCAGAGTCGTTCTTGGCCGTCCCCTCCACACTGTTTCCTTCACCTGGTAATAGTTAATCATAGCCGCCACAGCAGGACATCCGTCAGGCATGCGCAGTATATGGCCAAAGAGTCTCCATCTGGCTAGGCGAACAAAGTTAGATATCGGTTGTGCTTTGCACCTCTTGTAGAGAGCAGCATTGCTTATTGTTTGTGGCCACCTAATACCGATGAGACTACGCAACTGCCTGCGGTGAAACGAATCCAGTTGGGCCTCGGCCACTGAGTGTCATAATAATAATAATAATAATAATATGTGTAGGTTACAGTGAGGGCTGCGTCCCACCCGCCTGTGTGGATTTACAGGAAGTGTGAGTTACGAAGTCTGAGGAAAATATTGAACGGCCTCTGCTGGGATGACGACTACACCATAGCTCAGTGGTTAGAGCATCGCTGGCTACAAGCGAGGGTCCCTGGTTCGAGTCCTGGTGGTGACAGTCAATTTTTTCTTCAGATTTTTCCCGTTTGTCTCTTTCCCTCAAACCAGTTAAAATATTAATAATAATAATAATTTGAAACTCGGGTATTGAGCCAATAATAAAAGTAGAAAGGAAAAGGACATTTGGAAACGAGTTAAGAGTAACTCTCAACCACTGTAACTAGATACTATATACAGTCAGAAAGTGCAACAACTAGGCACAAAACTGGCAGAGTACTGAGACATTCGACGTCCTGACACCTAGCTTCAACACATCTCCATAGGCGGTCGGTTAGCGCTACGGAGATGTGTTGAAGCTAAGTGTCAGGACGTCGAATGTCTCAGTACTCTGTCAGTTTTGTGCCTAGTTCTTGCACTTTCTGACTGTATATAGTATCTAGTTACAGTGGTGGAGAGTTACTCTTAACTCGTTTCCTAATGTCCTTTTCCTTTCTAATAATAATAATAATAATAATACCGCACGCGTAATAATATAATTATGTGGGTATAATTATACGTTCCGCTTCTGTCCTATCTCCTATGATCAAATTCCGTTATCAAGATAATTATTTTAAAACACGGTGCACTAATGACCTGTGACGCCAGATCATGGATTGTCGGCCAGATTTCTCCATGTAGGCTTGGGACATGTCATGGGCCTCCGAAATCCTGTGTGGGCGACAAACTAATAAGCTACTGGAATCAGTGACCCCAGCCCACCCTTTTCCTTTTTGCTATGGGCAGCAATGGAAATATCCCGTTAAAATAATTAACGGAGTTATTTGAGTACTAGATTGGCAAGGGGACTAATATTGTCCTCACTGGCACTGGATAGATCACATCGAGTGGCAAGATCGGCAACCGCAACAACATCAACGAGATCGATACAGTAACCATCCCCACACACAGTCAGAGAAGGAGGCGTCGATTCCACTGCACTTTGATGTTGTTGTTGTAGTTGTTGTTTGTTTAGAGAGTAATTTAGAGTCGAAGAACAAACAGGCAAATCTGCCTAATTACACGATATCGACCCATGTGACACCAGTATAGAGAACTCACAAGCAAAACTCCATGACAGCATGTAGTTACTCCCAGCAAGCTTGTAGTGTTCCATAAAACAGATGATTGGCAGTCGCCAGTGGAGAAGTGTTTGTTGACGGGTAAGGTTGTGTAAATTGACGGCCATTGCTGGAATGGATTCCAAAACAAGCTGCTGTGATTTTCTAACTCTTACTAGATCAATTAAACTCGGATGTCGACCCAATGTAATCAGATCCAAAAGTAAGGACAAAAATGCGTTAGAGCTTGTCCATGTAGATGTGTTGGAGCTGCATGTACGTATCAGGTGGTTGAATGTCCCAGTACTAGTACTCCCTGTCAGTTTTGTGTCATGTTGAATGTTGTCGTACTAGCTGACTGTATAATGATTTGGTTACTTTGAGGGACAGTTAGTCATAACTCGTAACATGTTGACCTTATTTTTTTATCCATGATTACCAGAACAATGTTATTCTTTTCATTTTTGATACCACTTATACTTACAGGGTTTCGAGATTGTGGAGCTTGTCAAACAAACCCACTTGAAGAGAACTCAGAATGTTGCGGCCCAGATGCCTGTGAGGTCAAGAAAAAACATTTTGAAGAGAACTCAGAATGTGGTGGCCCAGATGCCTGTGAGGTCAAGAAAAAACATTCAATTGCTTTTTTGGTGTTCCATTCTGAAGCGATTCTAGGTCGTTACACTTCTAATCGCTAACAGAGAAACGAGGCAATGTACACTCACAGAAAAACTTCCAAATACAGATAAACACAACGCTGTGCGGCGATCTGCGGAAAGTGATGATTCTAATGTTTCCAGGCGACATAAATCATGTTATTTTGGTTGCTATAATAATGGGCGCACAACGTTCAGGCAAACTACAACAACCCGCCGTACGTGATTTATCATTACCAGCGTCGGCATGTGAGAGCTGATACTGAAGTAGGTAGGTAGGACCCTTCAATATTCTGGACACTCGCACCCGCCATTTGATTTCATTCCTGATCAATGAACGTTGCGTTGGGCCGCCTTGGACAGAACATCCCCCCCCTCCCAAAATCTATGGGGCATTTTGAACGAACAAACACCAACTGCTGACAAACGCAACACACTGACACCCACGCAACTCACAAAGATCAAGTCTCATTTTAAAGCATCATACGACAACGCCAAGGTTGGCAGGCGTGGACCTGGTGAACCTAGTATTGGAGCTCATTGGTGGGGCACACAGATGTCAGCGGTCGAGCACTTGAGGACTTCTGCGGATGCTATCCGCTACATGTATATGTCACCAACACCACATTCCAGCCTCCTGCTAGATACAAGACAACCTGCACTGACTGCAGAAGGGGCAGGGGTACTTGAAGGACTCTTACATTGTATTATCAGATAGACTGCGTTTTGCTTCGAGTCCCTAAAAAGGCTACTGAAGATCTGCAGAAGCTATGGTGGTGCACTGACTTCATCGGATCATCGACTGGTCATGGCAAATTTGGACATGTCATGGGCCTCCGGAATCCTCTCTGCAAATCACAAGCAGAAAACTGTAGCAACTAGAACACTGCAGACTGCCAAGATGGGATCAGATGTGAGTGCCAAGACCAAAATTTTAATACTCTAACACTGTTACACACAAGCTGCAAAACAAGCCTTCTGAGCCAGACGCGCTGACTACCTGGACCAAGGTTATAGAGATCGTCAAAGAAGCAGCCCCAGACACTTTTGGTTACGGCAAAATAACACGACTGAAAGGCGGTATCAATCCAGACATTGAAGCATTGTCACTGCAGCAGAAGATCGTACGCCTTAGACTTAATGCCGAGCTGAAGACCGAGACGAGGGAAGCGATCAAGCGGAAGCGTAACGCCGTGCAGCATGAAACACGAAATTCCTCGCTATGGAGTGGTGTTGTGAATGTGTGCCAAGGGCGCAGCGTGGAGAGGCGGACTGTTAAAAAATTATATTAATAACAATAATGAGGGTAAGCAGCAGTATTTGGTCATTGAAAGTTCCTGCGTTGACATCTCATATTTCAAGAGTCAGGATATGTAATTTTGATTATCTCTTTTTCCAGTCATTCAACAACTCAACCTTCTCTGAAGAGGTCTTAGGATCGAAACAGAAGTTAGAAGGAATAAATCTTCAATGCTCCAGGGACCCTTATGCACCGTGTCCACACGAGCAGCATCAGCCCTCTTCTGAAGGATAGAGTAGCCCTCCAACCTCCCAGTAACACCCGTGGCAATGACAATTGCAAAATGAATACGTTGTTCCGTTAACTCTGCGAACCTCTGGCGACAGCCGACCCTTGGTTTCCGCCGTGAAGCTATGGAACACCCTGCCACAGGAACTCACGTCCACTCGTCGTCCAACCCCGTTTAAAAGATTGTTGAAAGTGTTTTTTCTACGGTTAATATGGCCGAATAGTACCTCCCTCTGGCATAGGTCCTCATCTTCCTATTTCTCTCTGATTGTTAATTCGTTCGAACGTGACTTGTAATTACCGATACAAATACTTCCTATTGACCGTTTTCTCATTTTCTCAAGTGCAGCTCTATCGAGCCACACTTTTATATTCTATCGCCATCATAATATTGGGCATCAATGCCCGTTTGGTTTGCGATGTAAAATAAAACTTCAAACAAAAAATCCTCTTGTTGCTTTTGTGGGGAAGTGAGTGAGTGTATGTATGTGGTCGGCCACAGAGCGCAATGATGCTGGTGAATGTCAGCGCAGAAACTTTCAACGGCCGAATGCTGGTGCTTATAATTGTCACCCATTTCAGCGCCACTCATTTCCGCTGATATACATTTCAGCGCCCTCATGCCAGCTCCACCTTTACCTGTGGAATCTCACCTCAGCGCAACCATTTTAAGCGCGATACCTACTACAGCACATCTGGTTCAGATTGGGATTCAGATTCGGGGCATACCGGTGCTTTTACTCTGGTTATACTTACAGGCTTCTAAGGTTGTGGAGACTTTCAAACACTCCAACTTCAAGGGCACTCAGACTGTTGCGTCCCAGATGCCTATTAGGTCAAGAGAGGCGCAGAAAAACCTATTTTTACTTTTTGAAAAATTCAACTTACCAGAGGAAAATTTATAAAAATGCACAGTGAAAAAGTCAAAAACAGACTTCGAAGTAATCTACATAAAAACTCGAATGTTGAGCCAATAGTAATATGGAAAGAGAAAAGGGACCTATACGTTCCTGGTTATGACTAACAGTCCACCAAGGTAACGAGATAATATACAGTCAGATAGTGCGACAACGAGGCACTATCCGCACTATCTGACTGTATAATTATTACCACGTTACCTTGGTAGGCACAGTGAGTTGGTCAAAGACCATGATTGAGATACGAGAGGTACCTGGTTCAAGTCCTGTCTGGGAGCGGTTTTTCCAGCCGTGCTGCTACCAACAGTCAACTGGGAACTTGTGGCCAGGCACAAGGGGTACATGGATGCAGCTAATGGGGTCGTTCTCGGCACTTGTGCCAGTGGTTGTGAGACTTATCCACTCACCCCCACCGTTAGGCGCTGCATTTGCCGCTAGGGTTTACCGGGTGTTAGCGGCCGTCGTGAGTTCCCTTCGGGAACGGACACGATAATTTACTTTTACTTTTTACCTTGGTGGGCTGTTAGTCACAACTTGTAACTTATAGGTCCCTTTTTCTCTTTCCATAAAATCTGAAGTAGTGCGTTTATAGGTACTATCATGTGATCCTTGTAGTTGTGTTCTCCGAGAACTAGAGAGTTTTTAAGGTTTTATAGGTCCCTTTTTCTCTTTCCATAAAATCTGAAGTAGTGCGTTAATAGGTACTATCATATGATCCTTGTAGTTGTGTTCTCCGAGAACTAGAGAACGCACCCTTACTAATATTTAATAGGTATGACTTCAGTTCACATCCAATACAATAGTCAGTGTCTTAACAATCTTCAACTTACAATATGCTTAGCTGAATGAGATCGACGAACACACCATCTGGAAGAAAAGACAGCGAGTTGTTGTGAAGGTACCTGGAAAGCAAAAGAAGGTGTACATCTCGTCTTAAGAATTCGAATTTCGGAAGCGCTATGATTATTACGAAAATGGTGGTTGCGACTTCGGCATTGGTTTTTTTTTTAGGAATGGGTTTTCTCCCACACTGGAGCTCGCGCTATTCCGCCGACTTGACTTGGCACTTGATTGACTCACGATTGCCATCCAGAGCACACGTAAAGTCCATCAAACCTCCGCCTCAGCAAACCTGCAAGAAAGCACCACTCCCTGCTCAATACACAGTATTTCGGGGAATTCACCCATCAGATGAACTTGAGTAGGCTGAGGAAGATGGTGCCTGAGAAGCACCACATTATATAGTGCTCTCCAGGCACAAACATCACAAGGGATACAAACTTAGAGAGACACTCCGTTTTCTGCGCGACAAACACCTCGTGAACACCAGATAGCAGCGTGAGTCAGTGTCGCTCTTGGCCGGTGAGAACAGACGTAGAGAACCCTCCGTCATTCACAGAGCTGTCATCTCCAAACCAACTAGTCGCAAGCCCGCGCTGGGCACAACAGTACGAAATAGTTGTTGCGACTTAGGCGAAGATATTTTTAGAAATGGGTTTGCTCCCACACTGGAGCTCGCGCTATTCCGCCGACTTGACTTGGCACTTGACTACGATTGCCATCCAGAGCACACGAGAAGTCCATCGAACCTCCGACTCGGCAAACCTGCAATTAATCACCACTGGCACTCCCTGCTCAATACGCAGTGTTTCGGGGAATCCACCCTTCATCAGTTGAGCTTGAGCAGGCTCGAGCTCCCAGTGTGGGTGCAAATCCATTCCTAAAAAACCATCGCCGAAGTTGTGCTGTTGTGCCCAGCGGGCTTGCGAATAGTTGGTTTGGAGGTGACAGCGTTCTCACCGTCCAGGAGCGACACTGACTCACGCTGCTATTTGGTGGTCATGAGTTGTTTGTCGCTCTGGAAACGGAGCATCTCTGTAAGTTTATGTCCCTGGTGATGTTTGTGCCTGGAGAGCACTATATAAGTGGTGCTCTTCAGGCACAATTTTTCTCAGCCTACTCAATCTCAACGGATGAGGGGTGAATTCCCCGAAACACTGTGTGTTGCGCAGGGAGTGGTGCTGTCTTGCAGGTTTGCCGAGTCGAAGGTGAGACGAGCTCCTTGCGCGCTCTGGATGGCAGTCGTGAGTATGCAAGTCAAGTCGGTGGGATAGCGCGAGCTCCAGTGTAGGAGCAAACCGATTCCTAAAAAAATCATCACCGAAGTCGCAACCACTATTTTCGTGGATAATATTTCGAAACAAAAAGTCAGCACCGACGCAAGTAAAGTAAAGCCAATTTAGTAACCAAACATTTTCGTTCCCTTCTAATCATGGGTAAGTACAGGGAATAATGGAAAAAATGTCAAACAACAGCAACTTATACAGCTATTAAAAGCAAAAGCATAGGTCGAGTACGTCGCTCGTTTTTGAGTGAAATTTTGACCACACACTCCTGCCACTATGCTGGCCCTCAGGACATGATTTACAAGTTCTTCTGGTGACTCGTCCGGGGCTCGATTGTCCAGATGTTAGTTTCGGTGGTTTCCGTATAGGTCTCTTCTTCTTGTTGACTGTTGTTTGGGTTGGCTCCAGCCCTCCGCCCGACGAAAAGGAGGAGGCGTCGGCAAGCGTATCCACAGCGGATTTGGACAAGTCCACCTCAGACACAGACTGCACTGGACACTTCGGTGGACGACCACGCCGAGGTCGAGAACCACGTGCAGCTACAGGGACAAGATTCAACGGTACATGTTGACGAATCCGTGCGCCCAGGTGCTGAAAGGTTCTACCTACGTACCGATTTTCACAATTTCGGCACTGAAAGAAATAGATTAAATTACTTTTGCTTAGGGTAGGTAGAACGTCCTTCTTCACGCTGAACGCACGGGTCGTCCCAAAGATGACATACAATTTGACACACGGATAAGAGGAACAAACAATATTCCGCACCTCCTTCTCGACGCGCGAAGAACCGGCACCAACCCATGGCAAACGTAGTACCACAGGGCATCTCTCTGGTCCAAAATTAATCGTCTTTTCCAAGGTCGGTTTCTGGTTGATGAGTTTTATTAAAAGTGTCTTTGGATAGCCATTCTTTGTCATTATGGTTAAGAGTCGTTCTAGTTCCTCGTGCAGCAGATGAGGGGAACATATCCTATGTGTACGGTAGACAAGGGCCCTGACGAGGTGTGTTTTGGACTTAGTTGGAGTAAAACTTGACCATGGGATATACAAGCCTGTGAAAGTGGGCTTTCTATAAATGGTCGTGTCCATGTTGTGCGTATCCATGTTACGAGAAATACTAACATCCAGGAAAGAAAGGGTACCATTGTTTTCACCATCTGATGTGAATTTTAATGCTGGATGTAAGGAGTTAAGAGTTTCCATAAACCTATCACAGGTTTCCTTGTCGTCGTCGTGACAATACACATCGTCAACAAGACGACAGTACATTGATGGCCAAAGTGAAGGGTCAATAGACGACTCGCAGAAGCCAACAAATATGTTCGCCAAGACTGGTCCCAAAGGCACCTGTCGGGCAGTGCTAGTTGTCGTGAGTGGTATTCCGATGATGTATTCTCTGTTTTGTCGCGTGGTAGGTCTTTGTTACATCTTGCCGTGTTGGAAGCTTTGTTCATACGTAAGTTAGACCCTGAGCTTTGTGTTCAGAAGGAGAATGTGTTGTCTTTGCAGTTGTTTGGCACTGTTCGTCGTGAAGGTGCGAAATAGATCTCTTGATATTTCTCTCTTTTTCCTGTCACTACGTTTTTGTCACTTATTGGATTTGCATGCTGTTTACTTGATTCTTCACATCTATTTTTTCGTTCACTTCTACACATAATTGGAGTGATATGTTTCTGAACTTCTTTTCCTTATAGTTGTAGTCTTTTAGCTCATTTCCATCATTCCCTGTAGTATTTTGACAAGAAGGGAACGAAAACGTTCAATACTTTGACACATGTCCTAATTGGCTGGTGGTGACTCTTGCGTAGATGCATGCGTAGATAATACATTTTTTGTAATATTTTCTGCCTCCGTCCTACTTTCAAATAATAATAATAATAAATCTACATCTGATGCATACTAAGTCTTATTGCCACCTCCCGTTTAACCAACGTCCTCCCTTTGATTCTTTCAGGATCTTGCTTACTTTGGGAACAAGACTGTTCCAACAATAAAGCTCAGCACATGCAGCACATTTGCAGAGTGGTGAACGGCGTTGCTTGAGATTCCCATTGTAGTGCGCGAAGATGTTGATATTCCTACTCGTGCTTCTTCCAAACCCCCATTATTCGAGGAGAGACGATAGCAGGCTGCAACGCTAGCGCGGAGACCTCTGGTAGGTCGAGTTGCTCCGTGTTCATCGGCACGTCGTCCTTACATCCCCTGCGTCTTGTTTTGTGTTTGTCTCCACATGTTTCCTTGTAGGGCTGTGTTCCCCAATATATCTCTCAGAACTTACAATTCGCTTAAGGTTGTAAGATTGGAGAATATTCCAGGCGGCAGATGTGATATGGAGGCTCCTTCCATAACCCTGTTAACAGAAGAATGATTTGAAAACACAGAATTTCAAGCCTACAATATTAAAATGATAGTCTTAGGCTCGGAATTTGTTCACTTTATAGATGCAGATGCTCGCACAGACAAATACATCTATGCATATTCACAATAACCCATACGTGTACTACGTGTACTTCGAAGTACGCAGAAGCCATAAAAAGTCGTAGGAGTAGGAAGCAAGTTTTTAGCTCCTGCCTTTCCATCTATGGAATAGCCTTTCGGCCACTTTTGTAAGTATAGGTGGACCTGGAACTAGTCCCAGCCCTAATATGGTGGAGAATCCAAATATGGACCTGGCCTTGCTGCTGGATGGGGAGATTCGTGACTTGGCCAAAAAGTCAGGACTTGCAGGTGTGGACTCGTTGGCCCGACCGGACCTTGTACTTCAACTTCGCGCCATGGACATCGGCAAATCAGGTATGCCAGCGCTAGTGAGCTCTATCAGTGCACTGTCCTCGACTATCACTGCATTAACTGTGGAAATGGTATCCCTCAGGGAGGACAGGGATAGGGAAGTTAGAGAAATGAAAGCAACCATTGATGGCCTCGTGGCGAAGATGATACACCTTGAGGAAGGCGGGAGTCCAAACCTGATTGCACAATCTACAACCCCGAGTACAACGTACAGTAGTGTAGCTAGTTCAGGTAGTACAGGGGCTGGGGTGAGGGAAACCGTCACTCGGACTCGTACTCCCCCCAACGCACACTCTACCAACCGTACCCGCACTTCCCAAACATCGACACATGTACACCAGACCTCATCACGCACTGAAACACAACCGGCTGCACCAACCAGATCAACATTGGCTACAACTAGTACAAGTGAAAATACGGGAAGCAGTTCGGATGGCTGGGCCGAAGTTGTACGGCGTCGGGTCACGTCCCGGTACGTGAAGCCTGTGGCCCCAGCTAACCCCAACATCCTTACAGGCGTAGAAAAAGTCGCGAAATCTGTGTTCTACGTGGGCAATGTCCACATGGAGTGTAGCGCTAACGCAATTACTGACTGGTGCAAGGACCGTGAGGTTGAGGTGCTCAATTGCAGTATTAGCGAATCCCGGACCTTTGGCACAGCATATGCACGACTGACTGTCCTAGCGACGGATGAAGGCAAAATACTCAGTGCAGAATTTTGGCCGGCAACAATTAGCCACACCGTCCGTAAGTGGCGCTTTGCCGACGGTACCAATGTGACTGAACGTGGTGGTGATACTTCCTCGTCATAATCATGTTGTCTATGTCTTCCCTCAACTTGCATGCTACCCCATTCTACCCCAGATCAGAATCCGACCTAACGCTGATAACCATGAATTGTCGGTCTCTCGTCAATAAATTAGCTGAACTTTCGATTGTTCTGGAGAGCACTAAGCCAAGTATTGTTTGCCTCACGGAGACCTGGCTGTGCCCATCTGTTTCCATGCATGTACCGGGCTATTCCTGTTTCAGAAGAGACAGACCAGCACACGAGAACAGAAATGCACACTCTTTCACTAGAGGATATGGTGGTGTCGCGGTGCTTGTCCGGACTGATGCTTTTCAACATATTCTCCACAGACCCGACCTGCAGCGTCAGGGCTGTGAATCTACCTGGGTGGAAGTTAAGTCTCAATGCACCCCTAACCCTATTCTTGTATGTTGCATGTATCGACCCCCTTCCCAAACGGCGGAACAATTGTCCTTCTTCTCGGATATGCTGGTCGATGCTATACAGTCCTCTTGCTATGACGAGTGTGACTTCTTCCTGACGGGGGATTTTAATGCCAAACATAATGATTGGTGCTCTTCTGACTCCACCTCTACAGCCGGTACCAACCTACAGACAGTTTTTTCAATGCTTGGGCTCCAACAACTAGTGAGTTTCCCAACATACACTTCATCAGCGGGTGCCAACTCATGTCTTGACTTGTTGGTAACCAACAAACCCCAACATGTCCTCTCAGTCGACCACGCAGCTCCTCTTGGCACATCTGATCATCTGCAGGTTGTTTGTACGCTCAACTATGCATCGTGCTCGACACCACAAGCGACTGCTAAATCGTCCCTCCATCCCCAGGCTCAGTACAGGTATAAACAAGTGCCTACCCGTGTCTGGCAGGTTGTGAATGAAGACTTGTCTAGGTTGGACTGGTCATTACTTCATCGGCATTCTGATGTTGATGATGCCATTGTCCAGTTTGATGCTTTACTACAGTCAGCATTCCATCGTCATCTGTTGCCTTACAAAGTTATTCCGCGGACAGGAGACTACATTAGGCCTCGTCCTACTATGCGGGATGCATCCCGACCCTGGATCACTCCGGACCTCAAGTGTGCTGTGAAACTGAAGCGAGATTTGTATAGCATTTATAGGAAGTATCCAACCAGTGAAAACTTCATTGCCTTTAAGCGCAAGCGTAACGAAGTGAAATGTTTGTCACGTACCCTCCATCGTCAGTATGTACAGTCGGTTCATGCCACCCTGTCTTCCCATGATCGCCCTAGTCTCCATCAATTTCTCCGCCATCTCCGTAAGAACTGTAGTCGGGAGCCGATCCGATCAATGACAGCTTCAGACGGCACGGTAGCAACAGATCCCGCAGACATAGCAGACATATTGAACACGCAGTTTACGTCGTTTGGACTTCCTGACGACCCTACGTGGCCTATACCACCACTCACCCCTTCACCCTCGCTCTATAAGTTCAAAGCTGCCCTCAGGAAATTTACAGCTGACTATGCTTATGCAATCAACGGAATTCCGCCACCTTGCAGTTGATTTTCCCCATTTCTCTCCTCATCAATCCCTACTTCTCTTTGTACATACATCTACATCTACTGTTCTTTCAATCAAATGAACCCCTCGATAGGCACATTGCCTTTGGGTCATTTCATAATAATAATAATAATAATACCTGCGTCCCTCCTATCATTGTCGACTGGTACAGTCCAAGTGAGGAAATATCTCCGTAATCTGAAAACTGGCAAGTCCCCTGGTCAAGACGGAATTACCAACGAAGTTTGGAGAGCTCTTGCTCCGTCTGTTGCCTATCCTGTGTCAATTATCTTGAATATGTCATTTCGTGAAGGGAAATTCCCAGCCATGTGGAAAACTGCGGTAGTCGTGGCCACCTACAAAAATAGAGGACCACGCACCACCCCCAGCAACTATCGCCCTATCTCATTGCTCTCTACGTTATCAAAAGTGTGCGAACGTGTTGTATATGACATCATTTATGATCATGTTCGCATTTCACTTTCGCCAGCACAGTCGGGCTTTTGTCGGGGTGACTCCACCAGGTACCAGGTTACCCGCCTCGTGCAAGACATCCACACCGCCCGGAACGCCCATAACCATGTTGGTTTAGTTTTCTTCGATCTCGCAAAGGCCTTCGACACTGTTTGGCACAGGGGTCTCTTAGCTAAGCTGCGAACAGTATATCGCATTGATGGCAAGGCTATCGGCTGGCTCTCATCGTATCTCTCTAACCGACATCAGCTTGTACGCCTCTCAACTGTGTTATCGGAGCCTTTACCCGTTACTTCTGGAGTCCCCCAGGGTTCAATCCTTGGGCCACTGCTATTTCTCCTGTATATTAATGACCTCCCCGATACTGCCCCAGGTGTCAGCCTTTTCGCTGACGACACAGCTCTGCTTTGCTCCAATGCTTGCCCTATACGCCTGCACGAAGCCATGCAAGATAGCATTGGGAAAGTTATAACCTGGATGCATGATTGGAAGTTGCAGCCAAACGTTGATAAAACGGCAGCTATGTACATTTCCCCTTCTCCCCCTTCCCTGCCACTTTGTTTTCCTTCTTCAAGTGTTGCTATTCGCATTGTTGAAGAGCATACGCATCTTGGCGTTATTATTGACTCTAAATTGTCGTGGTCACCCCATGTGCAGTATGTCTGCAAGCGCACAAGCTCCATCCTTGGGGCTCTTCAAGCCCACTGTAGACATCTTCCTCTTTCTTGCAAACGCTTGTTTTATCGTTGCTATATATTGCCCTTACTTGACTACTGTGATACTGCTTGGTGTGGCATAACTACTACTGTATTGAACAAGCTAGAAACCCATAACCGCATGCTCCTTAAAATCTTATTTAGCAAAGATCGTCGCTTTCCCTCCGCTAGTCTTTACGAAATTGCCAAGATCAGTCCCCTTTCCACTCGACATAAGTTCCACCTCTGTGTTCTCATACATAAAATATTACTAAATAAAATACCCTTGCATATGCAGGCTTATAATTGGTTCTCCGAAACACGGAACACCCGGAACTCACTCAGTCTCCCACGCGCTGCCTCCACCCTATTCACTAGATCCCCGATCTTTGCTGGCTATGTGTTTTGGGCAACATTACCAACGCAGGCCAAGACCAGCACGTCGATGGATAATTTTGTTGCTAAAATCTCTGCTCAATTATAGGTTTCATGTATATCCTGCTGGTTTGTCTCCTCCTTTGCCTTCTTTGCCTCTTATTTGTATTCTTTTATCTGTTTTACTGCTGTGGTTGGCTTTCACCCTTGTCTCAGTTTTATTGGCCGTCATCATGATGTGCCATGAGATAATGATATAAATACAAAAAATACAAGTACGATATTAAAAAACGGAAACATACACTCGCACGTCAGGCTCGTTACATCGATTAATTTCGCCAGGAAGTTAACAAATTCATTAATCTTGGGCACCCTGTTAGAAGACCTTAGGGTCTGTTGGGAATGCCCAAGTAAAATAATAAAATACAATACAACAAATACAACAGGCTGTTCGGTAGAGCACCACGTGAACATTCCCATGCATTATGTATTAATTATATACATGTACATGTATGAGCACTCTAGGCTGCTCTAGTGTTGCTGCATTACAATACGCTCGCTACTTTTCGTATTTGCAGCACTCTGGCGCTAGAGCAACGAGCTATCTGCTGCCTGCTTTGCACCATGGCCAGTAACTCTGCTCACTATACCTAAGGTGAGTGCAGCTTGATTGGCGCGCCTGGTTGTGATGAAGCCGAGACCCAAGGTCGGCAGAGCATCCCAGACCACGCCACCACTCCCCTTATTCATGGCTCACACATAACGGGTGTACGTGGCTCTAGTGAAAATAAATAAAAAAGCTGCACTGCATGACCAGGCCTAACGTTAGGTACCCGAACCAGCTTGCTGGCTACAACATTTTGGTATCAGCATTGGGCATTGGGTATCCTGTTGGTTGGATGCAGCTAATGGGGTTTCTCGGAAATTGTGCCAGTGGTTGTGAGACTTATTTATTTTACTTCGCAGATTCTAACGGGCAAGTCGCCCAATAACAAGAAAGCGAAGGCAAAGAAAATAATATTACTAATAAAAGAAATAACCGGGGGCAGCAGAAAATGAATAATAGCTTTAAGAACTCAGATGGTGAGCCAAGGAACAAATTTCCATTTTACAAATAATCGCTTTCAAAGTAAAAAGAAGAGCGGGTGGTACAGCATATTGGATGGAAGTGGGGGCAGGGCAAAAGTAACTCCTCCGACCAAAGGTCTCGGAATCATCGTTACTCCTGTACGCCGATACATAGGAGAAAAGAAACATGTGCATCCAAGAGGGAAGCACCGGCTTGGCAAACGATAATGGGGAGAATTTGAGATTGAGATAGGACAAAACAATAGTAAAAGCAGTGCACCGTAGGAAGTTATCCACTCACCCACACCGTTATAGGCGATTCAGACTACGGCCAACTGTGACCACGTCTCCACGACTCAGATAGATTTGATCAGGGATTGTGCATAAAATTTTGAAACACCACTGCATCACCATGGAAATTCAAGTTTGCACGTGATTTTCGCCGTAGTCTGAATCGCCTATTGGGCGCTGCATCTGCCGCTAGGGTTTACTGGGTGTTAGCGGCTGGCGTGATTTTCCTTCGGGAAGGGACACGAGAATTTACTTTTTTATCGTGTTGTTTTATTTACAGTTTTAACTCTCAAACTTCAGTTTAGCCTGTTACCTCAACTCGAACACACCTCCAGTCTACGAAAAGGCTCTCAGCTGCACAGAGATAACGAAAGAGTGTGCCAGTAATTTGCACATTGGCAATCAGGAGGGCCTTGCTGATTGAGCACTGAACATGAATCTACAGTTCTACTGCGGAACAGGGAAACTATGGACAGGCAAGGGATTGAGGACAAATGTCCTCAATTGACAGGTGCCCATATTTCTCAGTTGCACGCATCACCATACTGTACAATATGCGCAACATACATGCCTATCATTTTGTTCTTTACAATGATTGACTGGTTAAAATCGCCCACATCACATGTTTATTGGCACTATTTCATAGTGACTGTGCCGGAATACATCCAATAAAAAGCCATCATCACACATTTTTCCAATGTGTTTCATGTATTTGTTTTAGAAATTTGAAGCTCCATTATAGCCGTGTCATATTTTCAGTACACTCAACTCGCAACACACAAATAGTCCTTGGCTACATAACGTACAGAACATTGTCCAACTTTTCACCCTGGAGGGCATCATCAGTGATATAGGAGAAGAATGTTGGCTGATATAAGACAGTCCAGGGACAATCAGACAAAACGGTCAAGGACGCATAGCAACAAACCACACAACTTGTGTGGCTCTAAAGATTCGAAGATCACTTGAAGGGGAAGCTACGCGGACATGAGTTGTGAAAAACCGAACGCCTCAGTACTACAGGACACTACTTTGACCAAGACAATTTAGATGGACAAATGAGCAGCGGTAACAAGGAGCAGTTTCACACGACGATCGTTTCGCCGTATAGGTAAGGACGGCTCTTCGGGTGTGCAGAATTAGACTCGGGTGGAGAGCAAATGATTAAATTATATATAAGAAGAAATGAGGACCAAGGAACTGCTCCTTTTTAAGTACAATTTACGCTATAATGTCCACTAACACCACCAGTTACAAAATAGTCAGCTCATGCGATAACATTGCACGACACTGACCAACGGTACTGACGTTCTACACCTAACTGGCAATCAGCTCTAACACATCTTGGATGCACACTCCAACAGTCTTCCAGCTTGGATGGTTCTACATGTAAGTTAGAAGTAACATTGGAGGGGAAGATGACTGCAACCAAGACACGCACGAGCTGAAAGTTTCAGCTGTAAAGGACTGGCGGATGTACATGTATGTCGAAGATGATATAGGCAAGACCATCAGACAAAACGGTCAAGCCACAATTCAAGGACGCGTAGCAACATACGAAACAACTTGTGTGGCTCTACAGATTCGAAGATCAATTGGAAGGAGGGGGACACTCCTATGTTTTCTCTAACTTAGAACCTTCCAGGCTGGAAGGCTACTGGAGTGCACATCCAAGATGTGCTAGAGCTGATTGTAGACCGTCGCCGGCGTCGGTCCGTGTCGTGCACTGTTATCGCATGAGCTTATTGCAAAGTAACTGGTGGTGTAAGTGGACGTTATAGCGTAACTTGTAGCTCCTTGGTCCTCATTTCTTCTTATAAAATAATCCTTGGCTCTCAACCCTAGACTAAAATTTCCCATTTTGTAATACATTTGTACTGGTGCTGAAATTCGTATCTACGTGTACGTGTAGGTGCTGTTCTTCAAACTTGTATTGTGATGATTATTAATGAATTGTCTTCTGCGATCAGGGTGTGATCGCCCACGCTCTTTATTATATCTTTCATGCATTGGGCTCGCATTGGGCACAGGGGCACGTGAACCCCCTAATAGGTTCGACCTAGGTTCAACATTCGCATGACCATGATTACATGCACCAGCCGTCCTGCATGTATGACACAGATGAAGCGGCTGTGCCCCCCCCCCCCCCGCCCCTGAGAAAGAGACCAACTAGGATCATGTTAATAAATTTCAGTCACTCTGATCTGCGGGCATGAGACTTCAGAATGTCAACACTTAGGGTTATCTGTAAAAAGGCGATGACGCCTGTTGAGAATTCCCCAGTAAAATAAGAATAAAAATATAAATAAAAAACACAGCTAGTGGCTGTCCACAGATTGTGTTCTCATCAGAGCTAGAGCCAGAACTACTTTGAAGTATAAAGGTTCGCAAGCTACACTGCATCCTCCCAATAATTATAATCATTATAACAAGTAGAAACGAGGACCTTGGACTCCACCTGAGTCTAATCATAAAAAAGGAATTGAAATACGCAACAAAGAACATGTACTAACTAATGGGACCTGGAAAGGTTCAAACGTTATCTTCCGTAAAATCACAGTTGTCCGTAACGAGAAAACGTTTCTAGCACGGTTTTCTACAACTTTCTTATTGTAGGACGATTTCTTACTTGAAGTAGAACATTTCTCGTTTCCCCCATACGTTGGCAGTGGATATAGTTTACTGTGGAAGACGGTTGAGCACACCGTAGTTTGGCCTAATTGCAATAAACACGAATTGCCACAGCCAATTGAGGCGTTTCACGTGGGTAAAATGCCGTGTTTAAACAGACTCCAATCATAGGCGTGAAAAACATGTTAACGGCTTGCTTACAAGATTGAGGTGTCGGTAGGAAAGGATGTTGGCAGAGACGTGCAGGCCACCCATGGCGCATGGTTTGCGGCGAGACACCTGCAAGCCGCATCACATTGAGAGCTCGTACCGCCCGCCAACAACAGCAGCACCAGTGCCCAAAATGCATAACATCCCTGGCTTGCCCAGCATCGTGTTCAAGGCTGTTGGAGCCATACCCATTGCGGGGAACCGCGGAAGCTACCTGCAACTTACACTTCCTCGCAGGCCGAAGTCTACCAAAAACGCTTCTCTTCCAGCCAGACTTGAGAAATGGCGGTGTTGCTGGCTTCCTTGCCAAACTTCGCGTTCTGAACACTAAAGTACCACGTGTTACCACTACGCTATCTCTTACAGGAATACTTGAATATTGGCGGAGTTGCTGACTTCCTTGCGAAGCCTCGCGTCCTCAACACTAACAACAACTTGTTCCTACCGCCTGTTAAGGCTTCTAAAAAGATTTTCCGTAACCGGTTCACCCGAACTAAAAAGCACTGCTACTAGATGGGCGTTTAGCACATACAACTTCGGCTACTCCTTGCCGTGTTCACCAGTTGCATCGTGCTAAGTTAAACAGATGCACATCACTAAACTATGGAAGTTAGTTGTACTAGCTTGTGAAAGAGATCAGCGTGAACCATCTGGCGGTGAAGTGTCAAGCCTGTGGCTTCTAATAATCACTGCCATTACATGACCTGGTCGATAGTTCATGGACGTCGTACAGCTGAATGTACGACGATAATTACTATGTGGCTCACTGTCCGACACCAACAGATGGCGATCACTGGCCGAAGCGCACGGTCAATGTGCCGAACCAATGTTCAAGAGACCTCGGATTTTGCGTGTCGGAGTAATGAATGGCCGTCTTGCTCCGGGAATATTTTGTATCTAGTGCATCTTCAATCTGCGGACAGCATGCTGTTTCGTTCTTTGTGAACTCATCAGCGCAGCACAGAGAAAATGAGGCCGAACCTGATAGCAATGAAAATAAAATTCCAAAGCCAAATTTAAACCAGGCCCGAACGCAACTTGCCAGAGTGCTTTCTATTGCATCTAAAGGATTACTCAGAGGCTCTGGTAATAGGCCTGTCGATAGGATATGAGTCACGTCGTTGCGACATTACTGGCAAACAGATAGTGACAAATGTCCTATTATCACCTTTGCAGGCCGAGGATATTAGTTTAATATACCATAGTTCTGATCACGTAACATGGCGAAAATCAAGGAGCTGCTTTGTGGCTGGAATTGATGCATCCGTGATGAGTGTTGAGCTGCTAGCTGGATATGGGTGGTGCTGCGCAAAGTGCTCTTATTAGCCCTCATTCTATCATCTATATGCTCCTGTAGTAGCTCACACTGTACCCCATCGTAAACCCATCCCCCTGCAATGTGTTGGTTTCCTTACTTGCTAGACTGATTTTATAGTGATTCTGGACTGATTTGAATCATTATTATCTTCCTTATTGGCCATGGGCCATCGTGGAAATAAAGAATAATAATAGCTGTTTTTATTTGTAGTTTAGGCTTGTCTCCCCTTCCTCATTATTGCCGTGATGATGCCCAATGGACGATGTATCTGCACTCAACTTTCATTCATTCTGTGCAACAGTTTTGGGGTATGGAAGTTATTAGAAGTGGAAGGAAACCGCTGCAGTGGAGTTGGCGAGTTCTTAGGACAATATCTTTCCAAATACACAAAGCAGTGGTTTTGACGTAACCGACTGGCGTTGCGAAATGAAGATGTAAAATAAAGAGATTTCTGAGAGACGGGACAATGCTGTACCAAAATATACAAGCACTTCCTTTGGAACATACAGTAAGGCACCATCAGATGCAAAGGAAAGCAAATCTTGCGGTGCAGTTATTCAAATACCTGCACTGGGAAAAGAGTACGGATAGGGGATGCGCAGGCCGCAGAGCATACATTGAAGGCAGCACAAAGCACTCAATGAAATGCCAGTCGAGTTGTTGCATTTGGGACATGCGGTTATGGAGACAGAGGAGCAACTGTGCAAGCAGCCACTCCTACATCCCAGGCAGCAAAATGCCATGCGAAATCAAACCAAGAAGGTACACCTCCCAAGCAGAACCTGGCGCTTACTTGTTAGATAAAAAGCACGTCAGGACTCTGATAACAGGAATTACATACTATGGTGGAACGGAATGAAAAGGCAGGGCGATGCACGAGCAACATCACACAGAAACAGTATGACAGAGTGGTGTTCCCTGCTCTTGAAACTCAAATATTGCTCCGCAGAACAGGAATATCGATCAACAACCATGCCTGGAAGTATGCAGAAATGGCTAGGAATTGGAAGTAAGTACGAAGATGAGGGAAAAGAGCCAAAAATACACTACTACTTTGGTGAACACATAATATTTTAAGCATGAAACAATTCTAATGGCGCGTATTTCATTTGAAAGCAGCAAAGAAAAGAAGAGCCAGCATGAAGAGAGAGTAAAGAATGCAACATATCATTCAAATGGCGTAACAGGGGGTTGTAAAATGTGAATAATAATATTTAAAGTAAATGAGGCCCATCAGGATCTCTCACCATTCTCGAAAGGCAGATACTAGAACTATAAATACGTGTGCATAAAGGAGAGACTGTTGAAATGGAATGTGAGAACAGAAGCCTATGAAGCTGAATGTAGAGTTTACTACATGTTGCAAACACGTCGAGAGTGTTATGGCTTGGGGGAACCCCCGCAGAGAATACTTGCCTTGAAGAATGGATGGTTACACACGGTCTTCTTGCAGGTTTGGTCCCTCACTTGACTGCTCCAGGATGAAGACGGAACTCTGGTTTTCTTCGGACAACTTGGTTGATGACGCTAAATCACTGGGTCGTCGTGCAGTATCATCGTTCACGACACTCGTGGTGGTTTGGTCCCTGGTCGTGTCCCCATTTTCACTGACTTCTTCAATATTCTCACCAGCATATTCTTGAGTTATTCTAAAGTAGAGTCATTCCGTCTCTCTACGTATCCTGTCAGCAATTCGCAGCTCTCTTTCGTGTACAAGAGACGAGAAACCAGCAGCTACGGACAGCGCAGATGATGGAAACCTAGCCGAGCCTTTTCGTAAACATGTAGATCGAGCAACAAGATGCTTCAACAAGATGGAAGATTGAGGCAAGACGATCGAAAGTGGAAAGGAACAGTCAACGAAAACAAACACTCATCTCATGTTCAAGATCGTCTTATTTTGCACGTTTGAGGAGTCAAGAAAAATCGTCAAGATGGGCGAAAAATCGCCTTGTGTGCCAAAACGATATGAAGTGAGTCACATCAATGTTTAACCTATACAATATACATGTATACAAATTTTACAAACTCTCGAATGTGTCTAAGAAAGTTGGTTACACGACCACTCAGTCAGATCTTCAGTATAACGCAGGTTGAACCTAGTGGTATGGGAGTGCTTCTACATGTAGCATAAGAACTCATATCAGTGATCTCCTGCGCACGTATACTCTTGCAACGTCAGAATTGCGAAAGAATGATGAACAAATGAACACCAACTTACTAGTTTTCACATATTGCCCCAGTACATTGTCAGATGCGAGGACACAACAGCTACCATAAACGTCCTCTGGAGAGCTATCAAGCTTTTGTTGGTGCGCGTCGTACTCATAGCATTGCAGAACGAACAGCTGAAATTGGTTCTGAGGCCAGAGGCTGACGTGGATAAGGCTTGGGCTCATGCACCGTTCAGAGCAGTGCTTGACTGTCAGGAACACCGAGCACCTTGGTGTAAAATTCCTCATTCATTTCGTTAACGCTGTTCAGTTGCCTGAAATCCTAGAGACACAATTTCAAGGAGGTCCTCTGTCACATTATACCAAGCTTCCTGATCAGGCTTATGTACATGTACGAAACTTACAGTACGCGCAGAGATGGTAGATCAAAGACTCCCACAGGAAATGTCGTAATCGGATTGCCATTCAGATACCTGTATGGAAATTGCAGAGGTGCAGCATTTCTATATGATCACGGGTATTTTTTATTAAAGTAGCCACATTTCTTCTTCGTGGATAGCAAGAAAGGACAAAATGCTGCGAGTTATGACAACATAGCTGTCCACCAGCGTAACCTGATCACTTACAGTCAGCGCGTGCGACAATATGGCACAAACCTGACAAGGAGAACTGAGACATTCAACGCCCTGACACCTACCTCCAACACTTCTCCGAGGCGCAAACCAACAAACCTTCCATCTTGGAAGGCTCAGCTTCGGAAACGGTCCAAGGTCTCAGTACCGGGTACTCCTTGTCAGTTTTGTGCCATACTGTCGCACTCGCTGACTGTATCATGATCTGGTTACGTTGGTGGACAGTTAGTCATAGCTCGTAACATGTTGTCCTTTCTTTTTATCCATGATTACTTTGGTACAACATCCGAGTTTAATTTCTTCTTCGCTACAACACTAGCAAGAAACAGGATACATTCAGGATCGTACTATACCACTTCTGCAACTTCCTGCCACAACGTTCTCCTGTGTCTCGAGCTAAGCCCCCCCCCCCCCGTACGTGTCATTTTCAAATAAGTATCGTTTAGATTGCAATATTGTTGTAGAAACGTTAATTTAAAGCTAACTCGTGTTGGCGGGAGTTTGAGTGCGTGAACACTTAGATCCACTTCCTCACCAAGCGGACAAACAGAAAATTAACAAGTAATCAACGCTGTGGTAACACTCCAGCAGAGGTACAATAGAAATCAAAATACAATTCACACAATGTGCAATAATTATTTCTCCAAGAAAACCATTAATCAGAACTTCACCATGATCACTTCATATCTCTTGCTGGTTATACGTACGTGTGAAGGGGCAACCTCGGTCCCAAGCCGCGCCAAGGGCCAGTCGCTCACAGTAAAGATTGAATGCTGGTGCATTCATACGGCTCACCATCAGTTCACCAAGCCATGCATTTAGCAATGTAGGTGACAACTGTCTAGCAATGTAGGTGACATATCCGTTGCATGTAACTGATTTAGTCACAAGTACGTAAACTGGGTCTCCAGAGATTGTCCATAAAACCCTGCAATCGCCACGCAAAGTGGTCATTGGCTACCCCAGCCATGTATTGCTTGGAATAAAATAAAATGAATAAAGTGTGTCTCCCGAGCGTGATGTCACGCCTAGTTCTCAGAATCACGTCATCTGTTATGTTGGTGCAACACTAGTTCTATCTAAACATCAATTATTCATCAGTAGTTCTCCATTGAATCTACCCATGTTTTCATTCATTAGATACCGAATGCCTTTACAACATCATAACTGTTCAAATGTCAAATTGTAATCTGTCATACGATATTTTTACAGTGTTTCCTGCAGACATTTTCACTCGTCTGAAATACAATTACTCACAACTCTTGAAGATTTGATAGATTTGCAAATATTCCCTGTGGTAGTGATGATAGAGAATTATCATTCAGGTGTCTGTGAACAGGAATCATGAACATAATTGTATGACCACGAAGGAGCACAACCGGAGTTT